TTAATTGGAGAGAGAAGAGTCTCCCAGATTTTTCCTGCCTTGGCTCGCTTTGAATGGAGATCCTCAGATCTCATTCTCTTGAATAGAGTCATAGGCATGAATTGCTGATGCCCATCTTGAATTTAGGGTTTATTCTTCTTCTGTATGTATGTACAGTTTTATTATGAAAATGTGCATCTGTAAATAATATACATATGGTATTGTGTTAAAATCACCTCAAATACCATTACACTGTGTTCTTTCACAACCTGTTTTTTTGTTTGTTTGTTTTGCTTGCTATGATTGCTGTGAATTGTAGCTCTGGTTCACTCATAGTCACTATTTTATAGCATTCCCTGGTAGGAATTTGCTAGTAAGTATGTATTTCTTTTCAGTACTGGGGTTTAAACAGCTCCCCACCTTGCACTTGCTAGGCGGGTGCTCTGCTACTTGAGCCACTCCTCCAGCTCTACAGTTTTTGTTGTAGTTTCCTACCCTTTGTTGTTAGAATCGCATCTTTGGCTTTTATCTGAGTCTCTTCCCAGGCCTCAATACCATATTTGATTTATAGTGTTTTTCTTAGAGCGAAATTGAGGGATTAGGTAAATCAGCTGAGGCATGTTGGGAACGGAGAGACAAGAGGAGACTTGAGACCTCCAATTCTTGTTGTTTCCAGATGGGGCTCAGTGTCTTTTGTTCCCACAGCTTGTGACTGAGGCCAGTGCTCCCTCCTGCATTCAGTGAGCTCCTAGCTGCTGGGAGGTTCGCCGCCCCAGTGCAGGAGCTGAGGGGAGGAAGGCTGGAGGAGACAGTGGATGGGGTTGCACAGGGAGTTCTCAGCAATTTTAGTACCAGAGGAGCAGTAGGCAGAGGTCAGTGCTGTGCTGGTGAGGGTTAGCTTCCTTAGGATTGTGTGGTCATGAGTCGGGCCCTGACCTTTGAACTCAGCCCGCAGAGCAGGTGTTGAGCCAGGTGTGAGTTGCACACCTGGGTGGTCGTTGCAGCGTAGGGTGGTTGTCTCTAGTTTCGTGTTGTTGTGCCTGCTGTGGTCATCTCAAGACCGGGCCCAGGGCCCAGGAGGCACTCCTGTGCCCAATGCCTACGCTGGGAGCACTGGCCTGGAGTCCTTCCTCCTCTGTTTCTTATCAGGCCCCTGTAGCCTGGTCTTTGTTTTTGCCACTCCTGAGGCTTGAACTCAAGGCCTTGGCACTCTCCCTGAGCTTCTTCTGCTCAAAGTCAAGGCTAGCACTCTACCATTTGAGCATAGCACCACTTCTGGCTTTTTTTGTTTATGTGGGACTGAGGATGCTAGGCAAGCACTCTGCCACATTCCCAGCCCTAGTCTTGTTTCTAATAAGGGGGCTCTTCCCCCTTCCCAAGGTCCTCCAGCCTCAGTAGGTGCCAGAACAATGATTCTCTCTTGTTATCTCTCTCTCTTTCTTTCTCTCTCTCTCTCTCTCACACACACACACATTCACACACATGGATATGAATAGAGAAAGAGGTGCCAGCTGTGAGCAAAAAAGCCTAGGTAGAATGAGATACCCAGAATTCAAACCCTGGTACTCCAGTACTCATTGCACGTATACATACACGTGCATGCACACACACACAAATAATGTCTTATTGCACATATATACTTGTACTTTGACAGTTGTTTTGTGGGTGTTTTTCTGTGTCATCGCAGGCTTTCCCATCGTTTTTGATGGCTGTATAGTACTCAGTATATGATTAGTCCAGTGCCAATGCTGTGATAGAGTAGACTTGCCGACTCAGCAAGTTCTGGCCCATTAGGTAAGAGAAGCTCCCTCCAACACAATTTTCTACAGCAGCCCCTTTGTCCTCAGCCAGTCTGGTGGACCTACGGAACATTAACGGCATGGAGGGAAGGCGTGTTAGCTGGCTGTCACTGTCACGGATTACTGGAGGTGATTATGAGGTTTACTTTGGCTCTTGGTTTTGGACAGTCAGAGACCAATTGCCCCTATTGCTTTGAGCCTGTAACAGGGCAGCACAGCATGGCCGAAGCACATGGCCCAGCAAAACGCTCACCTCATCAGTGAGGAAGCAAAGAGAAAAGGGGAGGGGGAGGAGCCTGCCCCCACAATTCCCTTTGAGGACATGCCTAAGGACCACCTGTCTGGTTCTACCTCTCAGGTTCCACCATCTCCCAATTAGTGTCCATTAGCAAGCCTGTAACACAGCTGGACTGTGGCTGGCACTTGCCACCATAGGCTGACATCTGCAGGATTGCGGTTGCATGGGTTAGGAGTGGTGAGCTAGTGGTGAGGCTGGGGAGGGGAGCCAGGCCCTGTGGAGGTGGAGCTGGAGCCAGGGCCAGGCCGCTACAAGGCAACACTGGAGGTTCTTGATCTCTCAGCGGTGCATGGGGAAGAGCAGCATCTTTTTTTTTTGTTAGTTGTGGGGCTTGAACTCTGGGCCTGGCCGCTGTCCCCCAGCTCTTCAGCTCATGGTGAGTGCTCTACCACTGGAGCCACAGCACCACTTCCAATTTTCTGATGGTTTATTGGAGATAAGAGTCTCACAGACTTTCCTGCCCGGGCTAGGTTTGAACCGAGGTCATTTTTTTAAGTTTTAGCAAGGATTGATTGATTGATTGATTTTGGTGCAGGTCCTGGGGCTCGAACTCAGGGCCTGGGTGTTATCCCTGAGCTTCTTTTGTTCAAGGCTATTGCGCCATCAGATGAGGAAACAGTACTTGGAAAAAATGTTTATACTATGCCTGCGCATGCCTCTGATCAATGCTCTCAGGTGTGTGGCCTCTCGGAACGGGCGGGGCCTTGCAGTCTCCCTGCCGTGAATCGGAGGCATGGAGGTTGCACAATGGACCTCTCAGAAGATGCCCCTGTACACAGGTGTGTCGAGCCGGGCTCTGTGCTCCCAGAACTTCTCATCTCCCAAGTGAGCCAGCCCTGGGGAAGAAAATGAGCCCTGTCATCAAGCAGGGTCAATTGTGGACCTGTTTAGGGCACCTGCAGAATGGTGGATGGGAACCAGGACACCTGCTGCTACTTGTCCCTTAAGGCAGCCCCAGTCCCCTTGCCAGCCCTCAGTCCCAGGTCCCAGGGATGGCCCACCATCCCGGGCAGTGACAGGAGCACAGAGATACCTAACATAGACTCCTGTCCAGGAATGTGTCAGCCACGTGGGCCGATGCTGGCTCCGATCAGGCCTATCAAGCCTAGTGGCAGGCATGGGGGGTGGGGCAAGGAGGACACTTGGGCCACCAGCCAATCTGAGTGTCTAGCTCTTTGTCACACCAAGAACACCACCCACACAGGTTCCTTATCACAGTACTGTGTCACCTTGACCTTTCAGGTTAAAAACAAGTTACTCCTAGCAGGCATGACTGTATGGGCCACTGTCCTTTGCCTCGTGGGACCTGGCAGGGCATGGGTCCCTGTTGCAGGAGAGTGTGTGGGGCTTGGGTCTGCTTGTCCGAAGCTTGTCTACTTTCTAGTCTGTTCCATGCCGTGGGTGCTCTGGGTGAACCCCTTGCAACTTCTTAGGCTGCAGGAACCAGCCGAAAGTTTCTCCATTGCCCGGAGCTTTCCTGCCAGCCTTCTTGAACTCCCTCTGCTGTTCTGGCCTGTCCTGTTGAGGGCGCTCCCGAGCCAGGTGAGTTAGAGCAGAGTTAAAGCATCAGCCCTCTGGCAGGCTGAGATGGCTTTATATCCAGCTGTTAATGAGCGTCCGCTGTCTCCTGTGTAACTCAGAGATGGCATCAGCCATGCGTAGGCCGAACGACAGAATCACATAGAGCATTCAGTGAGCACCTGGTCAGCCCCTGATTGGTGAAGGGAGGAATAGTTCTTATTAACGCTGCATCCGAGTCTGCTTTCTGTGGCCACAGTGGGTTTGAAGGGCGGTGGAAGGAGCATTGTGGAAGCAGCTTTTTCCTTGCGAGGGGAATTCGGGACTCCTGAGTGCTAGATTCTGAGGGCACCCCCTGGGGAAGGATACCCGGGAGCTCTTGCTCAGAGGCTGGCTCAGCCTTTGCCTAGAACATTCTTCCTGACGCTTCTTCCGGTTCCTGTCTCCTCCTTGCTTGCTTGGGTTTTGTCACCTGGAGTACTTACTGTGTTCCCAACACCCCCATCGCCTCTGCTCCTAGGACATAATCTTCACAGAGGATTTTGTCTGTTTTGCTTGCTGATAATCCCCCAGCTCACTCCAGGGAAGCTCACTCATTATTGAACAGATGAACGAAGGAGTGAAGGAATGAACCAACAAACAGTTTCTCGACCAAGTTATAAAACTATGATTCAGAAATGATGTAGAGTAACTTCAAGTGTGTGTGTGGGGGGGTGTGCGTGTGCGCACATGCACGCATGCATGCACACACATGGGGGGGCAGATGAAATCCAACAGATTAAGACAGTGTCACTGTGCAGAGAGTGGTTGGATGGAAAATTCTTCAGCTTCTTAGAACTGGAAGGGACAGACTATTCACATCTGAGACCAAAGGAGGAGGGTGACAATGTTAAATGTGAGCCAGGCTTTTTCTTCTTTACATTGAGGATCACTGTTTAAGGCTCGTGCTTCCCCTCTTAGAGTAGAAGAGGGACTCCCCACAGTCCCACGGTGCCTTAATGCCATGGTTGTTTGCTTTTGCTAACATTACACAGGACATGGACTTAAAGCCCACCACTACCGTTGACAGCTCCACTTCCATTTTTCTGGTGATTTTGGAGATAAGAGTTTCATGGAAGGGTTGGGAATGTGGCTTAGTGGTAGAGTGCTTGCCTAGCATGCATGAAGCCCTGGGTTCGATTCCTCAGCCCCATATAAGCAGAAAAACCTGGAAGTGGCGCTGTGGCTTAATTGGTAGAGTGCTAGCCTTGAGCAAAAGAAGCTCAGGGACAGTGCCCAGGCCCTGAGTTCAAGCCTCAGGACTGGCCAAAATAAAAAATAAAGTCTCATGAACTTTCCTGCCTGAACTGGCTTTGAACCATGATTCTCAGATCTCAGCCTCCCGCGTAACTACAATTATAGGCATGAGCTACCAGCGCCCAGCCAATTGACATATTTTAAACAAATGAGCAGTGCCCAAGGCTGCTAAAGGGAATGGGTGTCATTCAGTTGCATTTATAGAAGCAGAGTATGCAGATCAAAGGAGGCGATGTTCTGCTCGGCCGTTCTACGGCCAGACCATCCTGAAGTAATGTGTCCTATTCGGGATTCTGGGGACTGCGTTTTGGAGTGTTGGCAAGCTTAGTGCATCCCCAGAAAAGACGCCCCCAATGACCAGGCCAGCCCGCTGATACACTGCTGTTGTCCTTACAGCCAGGTGGGCACCACGGCAGGGGCTGAGTCACCCTCATGGAAGGGAGAGGACCCTACCGGATCTACGACCCTGGGGGCAGTGTGCCTCCAGGAGAGGCGTCCGCAGCTTTGGAGCGCCTAGTGGAGGAGAATTCCCGGCTGAAGGAAAAAATACAAGGGATAAAGATGTTAGGTAAAGCAGACTGTGCCCCCTGCCGGTGAGCTCCCTCCTCGCAGCCCAGTCCCTCCACCTGTCGGGAGAGAACGCAGCCAGCCTCTGCCCATACCACCCACGCTGTCCCTCCAGGCCCACAGGAGTGTCTTTATGCACTTCTAGAGCACTGGGACATTGGTCCCAGGCCCTGATTCCTCACCACCCCTGAGGGTCATAGAGGGACCCCGAGGGATGTCGTGGGAAGCAGGGGGGAAGGACTAGGAGGCCCAGTTCACAGACCTGGACCCAGAAGGGTCTCGTCTTTGTGAGTGTGAGGGGCAGAGGGCCAGCTGCATGCTGGCAGCAGGGATGGGCCACTGAGGGGTCCAGGGAGCCGAGCTGGCTTAAAACAAGGTACAGCAGCCCCCTCAGCCTCTCTTCTGGCTTCTGCTCAGCTGTTCCCCACTGCCTGGAGCAGCCCCACATTCCTTCATACCACTGCCGTGTCCCAGGCGCCTGGCTGGTGCCACCTCCTCCATGCAGGCCTCAGGAATTTCCCACCTTCTTCAACCGAAACCTCTTCCTTTGCTCCCTTCTCTGCTTTCAGCCTGGAGGATGAGTTTTAAAATGCTGCCTCTCTTCTTGGCACATCTGCCCGGGACGGCAGATGGGAGGGAAGGTGGTGTTCCCCTTCTTAGTTGCAGAAGGGAAACTGAGGCCTAGGGTGCGGTTGGTACTAGCCAGGGTCTCCTCCTGCAGCAGCCCCTGGCTCAGGGGGGCTTAGTGGTGGCCACCCTAGGCTACCACAGTGTCGTTTCTCCCCCCCTCCCACCCCCCACTTTCCACACTCCCCTCCCCGTTATTTCCTGGCTTGCTGGTACCTTTTCCTTGCTCTGGCCCATTTCCGGTGAAGAGTCAGAAAGTGGTTGGTTCTGTGTGACCACAACATAATGGAGGTTGTTCAGTCCAGGACTTGAGCCTCCAAATCCAGGCACCGGGCAGGGTGGGGAAAGCCAGTGCACGGGGCTAAGAAACCATCTGCTTCTCCACCCATGGACCTCTAGGGGAGCTCATGGAAGAGTCTCAGATGGAAGCATCCAGGCTGCGGCAGAAGGCCGAACTGCTGGTCAAGGACAGTGAGCCACACACGCCACCTCCTTCCCCCGCGGACTCCTTTGACCACTTGGCTGAGCTCACAGGTACAGAAGCATGTGGGCACCCCGCCTTCCTGTACCCCAAACTGCTGAACCTTTGTTCCTCTTGCCTAACTCCCTAATCCAGTGAAACCACAGCATTTATCCTGAGGCCACAGTTCCTCTTCATTCCCCAAGGTCAGATCTGGAAAGGACTTCAAAAATAATCTTGTTAAAGATGACTGTTGACTCAGCGCCTCCTGAGGCCCTGGCAGACATTAGTAGTCAATCACAGCAGTTGACTTGAGTCCAAGATGTGGCCTCAGGACCTTTACCGGCATATTCGACAGATACTTAGCAGTTGTTTGCCAACCATAGCACTCCAGGCGGCCATCCCTTATCAGGCTGAGTTAGGGTAGCTGAGTTGCAGAGAAGACTCTGCGCTCATTATTAGCCAGTTTTGGTTTATTTCAGTGTAGGTTAAGAGAAAGGAGGGCAATGACCAGGTGCTGAAGCCCTGCCTTACTTCAGTCCAGCATGTGCCAAGTCCAGGGCAAAGTCTGACCCCTCCCTGGCCTGGGTGAAAGCCTGCCCTTTGGCTGGTTGCGACATTTGCTGAATAATAGACCAAGGTTGGAAAATGGTGATATGGCTGCAGCCAGTGGCCATTTCCAACCTCTGCCTGCCATGCCCATTCAGCATGTCCTGATCCTGACGTCCATCCTGAGCCCGTGATTGATGCCAGGGCTAGCCAGAGTGAGGCACTGAGCCACACTAGGGAGTTCTTGGCAGCCAGGGCCCCAGCAGACTGGGGAAGTAGAACTGAGTGAGAGTCTTGGTTTTGTAATTGCTGGCTCTGTGATTGTGGGTAAGTCGGTGACCTTGTAAAGCCTCAGCTTCCTGTAGAGCCAGGCACCAGCGTCTCACACCTGCAATCCTAGCTGTCAGGACGCTGAAGTCTGAAGATCAAAGTTTGAAGCCAGCCCAGGCAGAAAAGTCTGTGAAACTCTTATCTCCAATTAACCACCAAACAGCTTGAAAGTGGAGCTGTGGCTTGAGTTGTAAACCTCCAGCTGCGAGTAAAAAAGCTAAGGGAAAGCACCAGTCCATGAGTTCAAGCCCCAATATCAGTACACAAAAATTTTAAAAACGTACAAAGGCTGGGTGCTGGTGGCTGACTCCCGCAAGCCTAGATATTTAGGAAGCGGAGATCTGAGGATCTTTGAAGCCCACCTGGGCAGGAAAGTTTGTAAAACTCTTATCTCCAATTAACCAATTAACACAAGCCAGTGGAGCTGTGGTTCAAATGGTAGAGCACTGTCCTTGAGCTTTGGGGTTAAGGGCAGTGCACAGGCTCAGAGTTCAAGCCCTAGGACAGGCAATAAAAAAGGCAGGGGGCAGATGTGGGATGGTCATGAAAATGGCCAGGAATATGTTTATAAAACCCTTTGTTTCTTGTAGATCACTGTCTTTATCATGGTGTGGAGTAGCAGGGAATGGGGGGTGCTTTTGGTTTGTCCCAGTGAGTTGAGGGAAAGGGGGTCGCTATATCCAAGGTCTTATCTCAGTCATTCCATGGCCAGTTTTCCTAGGCTACCTAGGCCTGGAGAGTCTGCCTCTATTTCTCCAACTAAAGTGGAGAACTCTAAGAACTCTTCTGTCAAGCACTGTTCTTGGGGATCCTTCTCTAGGCTTCTCCTTTCCCAATGTCTACAACTATGCTGTCTTGATTTTCCAGGGAAGGATACAAATGTGCCAGCACCTGTTGCTGCCTCGGTATGTTCCAGGGAGCCGCCGGTACCTGTGCCCAAACCTCCATCCAGTGTAAGTTGCATTTGGAATCATGGCTGGAGGTTACCTGACCTTCCAGTTCCTGCTGGCTGATACAAGGACCAGAAGAAAGAGGGTTGGAATCAAGACTGTACAATCTGGGTCTGGGAGTGTGGCTTAGTGGTAGAATGCTTGCCTAGCATGCATGAAGCCCTGTGTTCAATTCCCCAGTATCACATAAATAGGAAAAGTTGGAAGTGGCTCAAGTGGTAGAGTGCTGGCCTTGGGCAAAAGTAACTCAGGAACAGTGCCCAGGCCCTGAGTTAAAGCCTTAAGACTTGTTGGGGGGGGGGGGGGGAATGAGGGGAAGACTTCAATCTGGCTAGTTAGGTAACATTGAAAAAGTCAGCCTCAAGCTTTGAAAGGCTCAGTTTCTCCCTAAGATTTGTCAGAAAAACCCTGCTATGTGCAAGGATTGCTCTAGTTGGCTGAGTTGTCTGATGTGAAGTGAGGAGCAGTGGCTGTCGCCAACACTCAGAAGACACACCAACTTGGTGTGGGTCACATCATCAAGATGACCCACAAATTGTGCCCTGCAGATTTGGCTTGAGACGTTTTCCATGGTTTTCTAGCACAAGCCCTTAAGCATCTTCATCCTACAGATCAGGCCTGGGGAGAGAAAGGTCTTTATCAGGGTCCTTCAGGTACCTGTGAAAATGTAGAAGGAAAGGGGGACTTGGTTAGGGCATGGCTGAGACCAGAGTTAGGGGTCATGGTGACTTTGAGGCTCAGTTGGATGCTAGAGTGGAGCTGAAACACAGTGTCTGCAGGCCAAGTTTAATGGGGAAGCTTACAGCCAGGTAAAGTTCAGATGGACCATGGACCTCAGTTGAACAACCAGTGAATTCTACTTGGTATTGTCTTGGGGGGTAGAAAAAGGTGTGGTTTGGTTGGCCATCTTGGATTTGGAAAAATCTCCATATCCGTTGAATCATCTTTTGGGATTCTTTTCAACCTTTCCACTCACTCCTTTGAGCAATCTGGGACAGGGCTGGCAAGGCCAGCATAGAACCTTGCCTGATGGCAGCCCTAAGAACTGCCATCTGTGTCACCTTGAAAGAGTAGTCAGAGCCATCTGGGCCTAGGATACAGCCCTGGTGCCATAGCAGGACTTCCAGTTGTGGATGCAGTCTTTGTTTTTCGTATTAACTATGTGTTTTCGGTCTCCACATCTGTCCCAAGGGGAGGGGATACGAAACTCAGACCCATTCCTTGAGTTGCTTTAAGGACTAATAGAGTTCATGAAAACATTTGAAAAGGACCAGACCTTCAGAAAGATGTGATTCTGAAGCACTAACAGGGCAAAGTCATTGCTCACAGATGAGCAGAGTAGCCAGGCCGGGCCTAGACCTCAGATCCCACGCGGGTTCTGGTGCCTGTCTGCAGCCTGGCTGTGTGGTCTCATGCCAGTTTCCCTGGGAGCTCAGTGGGGCTGAAATCCCAGATGTGAGACAAGACCTTGGCCTTCTACACCCTTGCTGCTCTCAGCAGTGGGGTGCCGGAAGGCCAGAGATACTGTTCTTGGGTCACTCCTAACTGCCTTCTGCACAGGGCACCTCCTCTGAATTTGAAGTGGTCCCCACTGAGGAGCAGAATTCTCCACCAGAGAGCGGCCACCCCAGAAACACAATGGTGAGTGGCCAGGCAAACCCCTTGGGCACGTGGTACTGTCTCCTCTCGATCTCAGCCACCTGATTCTGTATGAGAGGCCTGGGACCCTCGAATCCCTTGGGCTCCCTGGAGTCACATGGGGACACACAGGGGCTGGAGGAGGCAGTGCTTCTCGCTCTTACATGCAAATCACTCTGGCAACTTCCCCAAGTTGGAGCACCCTACAGTTGTGACAGCCCAGGCACTTTGTCAGCCCTGTGAGTTTCTGAACAAGTCCATTCTCAGGCTATGACTCAGATTTGGGGGGGAGGGGGTCTGTGGGCTCCTAGCCATCGGGTGAGGGAAGAGAAAAGTTCCAGAGCCTCTTGCACAGGTTCTTGGCTCCTTCCTGGAGTACATAAGTTGGAGGCTAAACTTTCTCTCCTTAACACATCTGCACCCATCACGCATACAACACAAGTCTTACAGCTCTGGAGCAGTCACCTGCATCCTTATTCTGTGCCTTCTAGCACTTGCCATCATGGTTCTAACGCATCTTCCCTCTGCTCTCTTAGATGGAGAACCGCTGCAGGGTTCTTCAGAGGTCTTCAATTCTGTCTTCTCCTTCCCCGTCTCTTCCTTCTTGGAGTTTTCAATTGTTATGCCAACACTATGTGTCCTGACCCTTCACCAACACTCCAACTCCCACAGCCTGGTTCACAGGTGGCTGTGTCCAGTGGCTGTGGTGGCTCCTTGGTTGCTGATTGCTGCTTCTGTGTCACTTCCCCTCCCAACGCCCAGCATGGGGCTGGCCAGCTTGTGCAAGCATTTTAGCTTTCAGCACATAGAGGCTTATCACCACATCTGGCAGCTCTGAATATGAGACAGGGTCTCTTGTCTCCTGGGACCTTAGTTCCCTTGTCCTGTTCTGTCCCAAGGGCTGTGAGCTGCTGGCTGAGGCAGCAGGATCCCCTACTTGGAGACGTTTCACTCTGACTTTGGAGCAGTGCTTTTTATTTTTTTTCATTTTGATCAATACTATTTTATGTGATCAGATGTACATAAGCATTGCGCTCGTCTTTGTGTTCCTCTCCTAATGAACCACTACCTGAATCTCATTAGTCCTTCCTTTGCCCCCAACCCCCTTAGGGTTCCTGGTCTACACCAAGCCAGGACCAGACCACTTCCTTCTGGAAGCTTGTAGGCTAGTTGAGGGATGGGAAGAACTTCATGAGCCTTGATTTGAGGGAGGCTGGCTCAGGACTTGGGCACAGGGGACCTGCTTTTGTAACCAGGCCAGGGAGCTGGCCAGGCCTGATAGCATCAGCAGGTACCATTGTTGGTCCGTGGACATCGCTTGGTCATAACCAAGGCAGTGTTCTTGGTGGGAGTGCTCTAGCGCATAGAGAAAGTGGGATTGGACTTCTTTTCTTCTTCTTCTTCTTCTTCTTTTTTCTGGAGCTTGAACTCCAGAGCCTTGCACTCTCTCCCTCATCTTTTCCACTTGTGGCTGGTGCTCCACCGCTTCAGCGGCAGTTCACCACTTGAGCCATGCCTCCCGCCTAGGTTTTTGCCGGTTAGTTGGAGATGGAGTCTCACAGACTTTCCTGCTTAGGCTGGCTTCTAACAGCAATCTTCCAGGTCTCAGCCTCCTAGGATTACGGGTGTGAGCCACTGACAACCGGGTTTGTTCCATTTCTTAGATGGTTTACTAGGCTGGAATTCTCCACAGTATCTAGAGCTATGATTCTTAACCTGGTTTTGGGGGGGTCTTGGTGCTTCGAGAAGCGGTTGAATGTTTGGACCTGAAAGAATCCTTCAGGACCAGCTCAGGGGACCACATGGATGCAGGCAAGGCACAGGAGAAACATTATTGTAAGATTTATTAGAGGGCCCCTATCTCCCCAGGAGAGGGAGCATATGGTGTCTGCCCCTATACAAGTGGGGGAAGTGAGGTAAAATGAGTGAGTGGGTGGGTCTGGGCAGAGAGAGGGAGTGGCCAGCTGTAAGGCAGGAACTCCAGCGCTGGGAGGAGCTCAGGTCTGGGTGGAGCTGAGGACCAAAGGTGCGGATAATACTAACAGGACCATTTTCTATCAGATAATCCACGAGGTCATGAATGGATCCTTCCCTAGTTGTTCCCCTGAGCTAGGGAAGCAGGGACTATAGGGTTACTCTCTCTGTCTCTGTGTCTGTGTCTCTCTCTCTCTGTGTCTCTCTGTCTTTCTCCAGGATTGCTTCTCTTTTGGCTTCATTCCTCCTATAAGAGCCCTAGGAGGGAGAAGAACAGGAAAGTCTGTGTGTACATGCTGTGGATGAGGGTGCTAAGGCCCAAGGAAAGTCCGGTTGACCCACAGGCACTTAGCAAGGGCTAAAGTGTGGGCTGAAGGTGGCCCTGGATGCTGCTCAGCTGGCTGTTGATTGGCCTGGGAGTCCTAGATCCTCCCCTGTGAGTCAGCCCCAGACAAAGGAGCCTGTGTAACACCAGAATTTCCCTGGGCTTAGCTGGGGCCCCAGGGGGGGAAACTGAGTCATGGGGCATGCAGAAGCAGTGGGAGAGCTGGCTGGCATTCCCTGTTCAGGCCTCACTGAAGGGTGGTCCTCCTCGTCTTCTCCTTGCCAGGATCTGGGCTCCCTGCCCCATGAGGACAGCAACCTGACGCTCCACCTGCAACGCCTGGAGAACACCCTGAGCGTGTGTGCCGAGGAGCCTGACCACGGCCGGCTCTTCACCCACCTGGGCCGCATGGCTCTCGAGTTCAGCCGGCTGGCCTCCAAAGTGCACAGGAATGAGCAGCGCACCTCCACCCTCCAGGTGAGGCCAGCAGGGAGGGCTTCCCGATCAGGCACTGGGCCTCCGAGGGCTGGATGGCAGGTGCACTTTGGGCTTCTTCCTACAGCGGTGAACAGTTAGGGAGTTGGGAAGATATGAGGAAGAGGAAGGAAATGGGGAAATGGAGAGTGGGGAGTGTAAATTCTTGACTAGGGGATTCCTAGGGGTGTGGATGTGGTACTTTGAGCACGGCCCTTTCTTTGTTCTTCTTGGGGTGGGAGCTCCTTACGTATTCTATCCCTAATGTAGACTCGATCAATATTCCCACTTCCTAGGTGAGGAAACCAAAAGGAAGGACCTTTTTTTTAACCCAAGGTCACCCAGCTGTTAAATGGTGGACCTGGAATCGGAACCCATGCTCGTTTTTGTTGGTTGTGGGGCTTGAACTCTGGGCCTGAGTACTGTCCCTGAGCTCTTCAGCTCAAGGCTAGTGCTCTACCACTTGAGCCACAGCGCCACTTCTAGTTTTCTGGTAGTTAATTGAGGAGTCTCACAGACTTTCCTGTCTGGGCTGGCTTTGAACCATGATCCTCAAATCTCAGCCTCCTGAGTAGCTAGGATGACAGGTGTGAGCTACTGGTGCCCAGCTTGAACCCGTGCTCTTAACCACAATCCCAGCCTACTCTGGGGAAATTCCTTTTAAAGACCTCACTCCCCATGCTCAGGGAATGAGGTGGCATTCTGTCCATTAGGGACCAGGAGCAGGACATTGTGTTCTATGGAGGCCCCACCCAGGCCTGTGACACCTTGAGCATTCGCAGTCATTAGATAGAGGTAGATGGATTCAGTTCCTCCTCATTCATTCATTAACTTGTTTCTCGGTTCACTCAGCATTCATTTTCAATGCTAGGCATTAAGGGAACTTCAGACCCTAGGCCGTCCTACCACCCTCCTGTACCCCCAGGACTCTTGTATTAGTCAGAAAGGAAACGAACACATCCTGGAATCTCCCTGGATGACATACATCCGCCTTCCTCTTCTGTGCAGCACAGCGTCACTACTGTTCCACACAAACTCAGGCTTTGGATCTCTGCCCCCATCATTGAGTACCGGGGTCCACATTAGCCCCTACTCAAGGGAGAGACAGGGGACTGTGCACAGACCTGTCACATGTCCACATTCCATGGCAGGCACTCAGGAAGTGGGAGCCACTGGGCTGTTCTGTGAGAATCTCTCTCCATTTCCCATCTCTGTCTCTCCTTTGAGCTCTACCATTGTTCTCTGCTCTTTGATCTCAGAGGAAAGACACCAGTTGAGGAGTCTAATCCAAGTGGTAGTGTAACTCATGCAAATTACTGAACCTCAGTTTACCTGCCTTTTGGGGGTTTTTTTGTTGTTGGTGGTTTTTTTGTTTGTTTGTTTTTTGGCCGGTTGTGGGGCTTGAACTCTGGGCCTGGGCACTGTCCCTCAGCTCTTCAGCTCAAGGCAAGCGCTCTACCACTTCAGCCACAGAGCTACTTCCAGTTTTTGGGTGGTTAATTGAAGATAAGAGTCTCATAGACTTTACTGCCCGGGCTACCTTTGAACCATGATTCTCAGATCCTCATGAGTAGCTAGGATTACAGGCATGAGCCACTGGCGCCCCGCAAGTGATTTATTTTATTTTTATTTTTTTGCCCCCAGTCCTGGGGCTTGAACTCAGGGCCTGGGCACTGTCCCTAAGGTGCTCTTGCTCAAGGCTAGCACTCTACCACTTGAGCCACAGCACCACAGCACCACTTCTGTTTATGTGGTACTGAGGAATCGATCTCAGGGCTTCATGCATGCTAGGCAAGCACTCTACCACTCAGCCACATTCCCAGCCCTCTCTATTTCTAAAATAGAGATAAGTTACTCAGCTTTGGGGCAGCTGACTCACAGTGTTAGGACAAGCACCGGTGCAAGACCGGCACTCCTTAGGTTCTCAGTGGACATTTGGTGATAGGTTGAGCTGTTCTCTCCAACCCTGCGCACCCTCATGGCTGGCAGCACCTTGCCCTCCCCACCCACCTGGGAGGCCCCAGGCTAGCCAGCCATCACTGCATGGTTCTCCATCAAGTGATCAGTATGCCTGGGACACAGCAGCCCCAAAAGAAGGTAGAGATGGAACACTCGTCCCCATTTTGTAGAGGAAGGGACAAGTGTTGGAAATGCAGTATGAGCCATGCTGGGAGGGCTCTCTGTCTCCTGACTCACCTGTGACCGCACTGGAAGTGTCTGCACACTGGAAGTGTCCTCACACTTCCAGGGACTCGCGTGTTTGTCTGTCCATTCGTTCGTTTATTGAGCCACTCAGTCTTGTGGTGCTTTGACTAAGTTGAGCTAAGGGCCAGTCACCTGGCAGTGAATGAGAGTGGGGGGGGGTCCTGCCCTCCTGGGAGCTCACAGACCACTGCAGGGGAGGGGCTGGACTTTAAGAAAATAATGACCATCTTCATTTGGCTTTATGTATGACAAGCATGCATAAATGTGAAAACAGAGGACTTGGAGCGAGATAAATGGTGGTAACTTGACAGCGGGATGTGGGAGTTGTTTTCTGTGGAGACCTTGTTTGAATACCCCTAAAGGAGAGGCCAGCCAGAGTGGTGAAGGGGAGAAAGTGGGGAGATCTGATAGGGAGGACCAGAGGCCTCGACTGACCCTTGCACAGGCATCCTCATAACTGGCCCCCCAAGGGATGCCCGAAGGATCCTAGATGGTGCTGGTGGTCTGGATGCCACCTACCTTCATGATCTGACATTGGAGGTACCTCCAGTCTCTCTCTCTCTCTCTCTCTCTTTTTTTTTGGTCCATGGGGCTTGAACTGTGGGCTTGGGCGCTGTCCCTGCACTCTTCAGCTCAAGGCGAGTGCTCTACCGCTTGAGCCACAACGCCACTTCCGGTTTCTAGTGGTTTATTGGAGATTAGAGTCTCACGGACTTTCCTGCCCAGGCTGGCTCTGAACCATGATCCTCAGTTCTCAGCCTTCTCAGTAGCTAGGATTACAGGTGTGAGCCACCAGCACCCGGCCCTCCAGTCTCTCTTATCCCCCTGTGTCAGCCTGTATTAGGACGTACCCCCTCCTTAACCCTCCCTTCCCATCCACCTGTCTTCCCCACAGACCTTATGTGAACAGCTTCGCAAGGAGAATGAGGCCCTAAAGGCCAAGCTTGACAAGGGCCTGGAACAGCGGGAGCAGGCTGCAGAAAGGCTGCGGTAAGCCCAGGCCCCAGGAGCAGGGTGGGCAGAAGGAGTTGATGCCTTCCACTGATTCCAAGGATGAGGATTCATGCTCAGAGCTCTGCTTGGATAGATGCAGATCTCTTGGTCTTTTCTAGCTCCGCTGGTAATTTCTCCTGGGCCCTCTGATTACCTGGGAGAGTAGAGAAGGCGGATACAAGCTGCCTCCGCCCCCAGACCCGCGCCCTAGCCTGCCGACTGTCCTCTGGCTGGCTGTTTGGGAGAGGGTCACAACTCTTCTGTCCCTGCTAGCCACTGTTGTGCCATCCCTTGTCTGGACTAGTCAGTGGGTCTGGGGCCTATCTGAGGATGTGGACGAAGGGCTAGCTCTCCTGTCTCAATGTTGAGGTGGTGGTCTAAGGTGAGATGCAGGGTCTACATTTCAGCAGAGATCACACCTGACCCTGACTGTCAGAACTCAGAGCACCCTCTGTGATCATGGGGGCCCAACCCCTCAGCATATGAGGGGAGACTAGGTCTCAGAAAGGTGCAGGGACTCACAATGGGAACCTGAGTCTCCTTGCTCTGCAAACTGTTACGGTGTCCACGATTTCTGCCTGTGCTCTGGGTAATGTCTTGGGTAATATGCTGGATTATATTAGGCACCAACTAAGCTCAGTCCATGTAGGAGACACCTGTACCACAGCAAGGACTTTCCCTCCTAAAGTCAGTCAACAAATAGAAGTAATACAGACTTCAATGTGGCCACATAATGGTGAAGTACTGAGCCACTGTCATTTCTAATCAGCATGCTTTTATTTACTTTCGGATGGCCTAAACAGTTGAGGTTTTATGCCACATTGACTCCATCTAGGAGTATGAAACCCCAGGCTGGAAGAGAGATGTATTAGAAGGAAGAATGTGTGGCCTGGGGAAACAACTTCACTTCTTGGTGTTGCTAATGAGTAGGAACCCAGATGGTGAAGCGAACCTGAACTGCTGTGTTCTTTATTTCCCTGAATCCCAATCGCTTTCATTCTTTCCTGTTATCACCTGCCTTATTGTATACACAAGGTTTTACTTGAATTCATCTTTCTACTTGAAATTACTATAAAGGGGCTAGTCGCTAGTGGCTATAAGATCTGAGGATTGCTGGGTGCCAGTGGCTCACGCCTGTAATCCTAGCTACTCAGGAGGCTGAGATCTGAGGATCACAGTTCAAAGCCAGTCTGGGCAAGAATGTCTGTGAGACTCTTCAATATCACTAGAAAACCGGAAGTGACACTGTGGCTCAAGTGGTAGACCACTTGCCTTGAGCTGAAGAGCTGAGGGACAGCGCCCAGGCCCAGAGTTCAAGCCCCACAACTGACAAAAAAAAAAGATCTGAGGGTTGCACTTCAAAGCCAGGCTGGGCAGGAAAGTCCAGGAGACTCTTTATATCCAATTAATCACTGAAAAAGCTGGAAATAGAATGGTAGCTCAAGTGGTAGAGCACTAGTCTTGAGCAACAGTTTCTTAGGGACAGTGTCCAGAACCAGCAAAAATAAATTAACTAACTAAAAAATATATATACATATGTACATATATATATATATTATATATATATAATTGTAAAGGAAACTTTAACTGGAGTAAATGGAATCCATCCTTACCTATTCTAAATGTACAGTGAAACTGAAAGCAAATTAACAGGCAATGGTAAAGGACCATGGCCACCATAGGCTCTGAGCCTCCAGCTGGCTCCTTCTGTTCCCCTGCTCCATCAAGGCCATTTGGAGGTAACTGGTGGAGCTTTCTCACTGGTAGGGGATGGGTTATTGAATGCAGACTTCGAGTATATCCTGAAGATCTCGTGTATATAAGCAGCCCACTGGAGACAGCCTGCCAATGAGGATTAGAGACTGTCAGGGTAGCTCGCACCTAGCACTGGGTTCTACAAAGTCACGTGCCTAGGTTGAGGCTTCCCTGGCCAGTGAGCTAGACACACTGTGACTCCTCTGTTTGACTCCACCACAGGGAAGAAAATATGGAGCTCAAGAAGTTGTTGATGAGCAGCAGCAACAAAGAGGGTGCCTCTGGGCACCCAGGCTCCCCAAAGATAGAGGGTGCCAACAAGAAGGGAGTGGCTGGACAGCAGCAGGTATGTGATCAGAAATCCCTTCTGTAGTATCTCAGACCTTAGTGTCTGTTCACACCTCCAGAAACAACAGGCTTGCACTTCTGCACACCATTAAACTGGTAGAAGGTTCTGTCTCATTGGTAGATGGTGGTTACATGGTTTGATCTGCAATATATGCCTCCCTGGCGTGTCCATTCCTTAGAATTCTTTTCTACCTTCAGCCCCACAGACCTTCCCATTCTCTGGGATGCTGCCCAGAACTGCTTGAGTTACATGGCTCCATAACCCCATAGGCCAACTCCTAAAAGTCAAATATAGGGGACAGAACTGGGATCCTGCTGAGTTCCTACAATCCTGTGCCCGTAGAGCCCCAGAGATGGAGAGAAGATGGCGTCACCGCACCCGTGTGGCCTGGTCATGCCACAGGCTGTTCCGTTTTCCCCTCCTACCTCCAGGCCCCACTCTGGTGCACAACTAGGTCCCAAGTGCCCCGACCTTCTCTTCACCCCTGTCCCCCGAGTCTCGCCTCTATCATATGGTTGTTGTTTTCCCTTAAATGGGGTTTAGTAGCTGCACTGTAGGGCTCAATGATAATCTTATATGTATATAGTAGTAGAAGTAATTATCTTAATAACTTAATTCAAAGCCATGATCTCATTTGGGCCTCCTTTTACTGAATGGTAGGCAGGGCTAGGATGACTCCTGTATTTTCAGTAGCAGCAGGAGGGTCATCATGCAGTCAGGATCTCTGTGTCATCTGTTATCAAGCAGACGTGGGAAACAGGCCACATGGCCAAGGTCTGTTCATCATGGCTCCACCTGTGACAGGCTGAGACCTTAGTCAAGTTACAGAAACTCTGGACCTAGACTTCCTCTTCATCCTCTAAGATAGTAATACACCTTCAGGAATTTTTGGGAGAATTCATTGATACAGTACATATAGAGTGGCTTATTGGGTTGTGGCTCAGTGGTAGAATGCTTGCCTTGCATGCATGAGGCCCTGGGTTCGATTCCTTAGCACCACATAAGCAGAAAAAACTAGAGTAGTGCTGTGGCTCAAGTGGTAGAGTGCTAGCCTTGAGCTGAAGAGCTGAGGGACAGCGCCCAGGCCCAGAGTTCAGGCACCATGACCGACCCAAAAAAAAAAAAAAAAGTAGCTTATTTACTATAATAAATGGTGAATATTAATTGCTGTCTGTGTATGTATATGAGAGTATGCAAGCATGTAACCAGTCCTGGGGCTTGAACTCAGGGCCTGGGCACTGTTCCTGAGTTTTCTTGCTCAAGGCTAGCATTTTACCAATTGAGCCACAGCTCCACTTCTGCCTTTTCAGTGGTTAATCAGAAATAAGAGTCGCATGGATTCGTCTACTTGAACTGGCATTGAACTGTGATTGTCGTATGTTTGCTTCCTGATTAGCTAATACTGAGGTATGAGCCACTGATGCTTGGCTTAGCTGCTGCTTTTTAAGGTAGATTTGAGAACAGCAGCTGGGTCTGCCAACTGTGTGGCTGGCTGTATTTACTTCTCCACAGATTCCTCGGTCTCTGAAGGTACAGGGTTCATCACCCAGGGTCTCAGCATCCTCCTCCTTCTCCCTTTCTTGAGCTGTTACCCTTCTCAGCTATGCATAGTTTTGGTCCAACGGTCAGCAGGCTCCCAGGGGGCAGGCCTGTCTGTCCCTTCTCAAAGGAAGCAGCCTTACCCTGTATGCCCTGACCTCTAGCATCATAGGTGTGCTTACAGGCACTAGCCTGTAGAGGGCACTTGAGCCTAACAAGTTCTGCCTCTACAGCTCACCCCAAGCCTGGAGGGGAGATGTGAAGGAGGGCTAAAAGGGAGTAGAGAGAAGGTAAGAACAGAGATATAGGACTCTAGGAAAAATTAGAATCAGAGGGTGACCTCAAATATCAAAGGTCCCCCATGCAAGTGCAGAAACCACCAGCCTCTGATTCATGTTCACATCCTGAGGCCCAGAGAGAGCCAAAGTCCTGGTCTGGCCAGCATCCCAGAAGGGTAAAGATAAGAGCCAGTGTTCAATTCCACACTCCTAGACTGTTCCAATATGCCACACCTCCTAGACTGTTCCAGTATGCCACCTCAACGCTTTTTTTTGGGGGGGGGGTCCAGTTGTGGGGCCTGAACTCTGGGCCTGGGCGCTGTCCCTCAGCTCTTCAGCTCAAGGCTAGCGCTCTACCACTTGAGCCACAGCGCCACTTCTGGCTTTTTTCTTTTTGCTTATGTGATGCTGAGGAATCGAACCCAGGGCCTCATGCATGTAAGGCAAGCGCTCTACCACTGAGCCACCTTCCCAGCCCTGCTTAACATCATCTTATCTGACCTTTTCTGCTTGACTCATACATATACTAGTTATTGCAAATAAAGGAAACCATGGGACCTATGTTTCTTTGGGCCTGGCTTTCTTCACTTAATATAATTTTTTCCAAGACTTTCCATTTCCTAACAAATGGGGCAATGTTATTCTTTCTGATGGAGGCATAGAATTCCATTGTGTATATATACCACATTTTCTTGATCCATTCATCTACTGAGGGGCATCTGGGTTGGTTCCATATCTTAGCTATGGTAAATGCTGCGATAAACGTAGTTGTGCTGGTAGCTTTAGTATAGTCTTGTTTGTAATCATTCGGGTAAATGCCCAAAAGTGGGATTGCTGGGTTATAGGGGAGCTCTATGTGGAGTCTTTTGAGGAAGTTTATACTCCCACCAACAATTCAGTAGGGTTCCCTTCTGTCCACATCCCCTCCAGCATCTTGTTGTTAGAATTCTTCTAACTGGAGTGACACTTCTTTTTTTCTTTTTTCTTTTTGTTGGTCATGGGGCTTGAACTCTGGGCCTGGGCACTATCCTAAGCTCTTTAGCTCAAGGCAAGCACTCTACCACTTGAGCCATAGCACAACTTCCAGTTTTCTGGTTAATTGGAGTTCAGAGTCTCACGGATGTTCCTGTCCCCTCTGGCTTTGAACCATGATCCTCAGAGCTCAGCTGAGGAGCTAGGATTACAGGTGTGAGCCACTAGTGCCTTGCTAGTGAGACTTTTATCTCCAGTTAACCACCAGAAAAACCAGAAGTGGCACTGTGGCTCAAAGTGGTAGAGCGCTAGCCTTGAGCTGACAAGCTGAGGGACAATGCCCAGGCCCAGAGTTCAAGTCCCATGACTGACAAAAAAAAAAAAAAAAGAAGAAGAATGGGAGGAAAAGGCCAGGTGCCAATGGCTCATGCTTGTAGACCTAGCTGCTCAGGAGGCTGAGATCTGAGGATCATGGTTCCAAGTCAGCCTGAGCAGGAAAGTTTGTGAGATTCTTATCTCCAGTAAACTTCCAAAAAGCCACAAGCGGGGGTGTGGCTCAAGTGGTAGAATGTTAGTCTTGAATGCAAAAGCTTAGAGACAGTACCTGGGCAAGTCACACACAAAGGCTGGGAGGAAATGTTTATGCAAAGCATTGGATGAGACCCTCTGTGTTTCTCCCCAGGCTAGTGTAATGGCAGGGAAGGTTCCAGAAGTGGTGGCCTTGGGTGCAGCTGAGAAGAAAGTGAAGATCCTGGAGCAGCAGCGCATGGAGGTAGAGGTCTTGAAGGGCTGAACAGGGAAGACCTATGATTAGTGTTCTGTTAGAACTTAAGAGAATCCAGTATACCTTACTGCTTTTTATTCGTTTAGGTGATAGTAGGGTTTGAACTCAGGATTTTGCACTTGCTATGCAGGCACACTGCTGATAAGCCCATTTTGCTGTTTGGTTTTTTTAATGAAAGAAAAAGCCATGCACCAGTGGCTTACACCTATAATCCTAGCTACTCAGGAGGCTGAGATCTGAGGATCATTGTTCAATGCCAGCCTGGGCAGGAAAGTTTATGAGACTCTTACTTCCAATTAACCACAAAAAGTTAAAAGTGGAGCTGTGGTCCAAGTGGTAGAGCACTAGCCCTTGAGCACAAAGAAAGTTCTTTATGTATGGTGTATTCGTATGTATATTTTGGGAGGTGGGGGAGGATGTAGTACTTGAGGGTCAAAGGGTAATAAAGCGCAGCAGTGGAGCTCACTAGACACTGATGAAAGTAAACTGTACAACTCGTGTTTGGAGACTGGAGGGAGAGACTGGGAGAGAATGAGAATAGAAGGCACTGTACAGAAGGAAATGAGGGCTGGGAATGTGGCTTAGTGGTAGAGTGCTTGCCTGAAGTGCTTGCATGAAGCCCTAGGTTTGATCCCTTAGTACCACATAAACAGAAAAACCCAGAAGTGGTGCTGTGGAGTGCTACCCGTGAGCAAAAGCAGCTCAGGGACAGTGCCCAGGCTCTGAGTTCAAGCCCCAGTGCCAGCAAACAATAAAAATGAGAACAGAAACTCTTGTTTCCATTTCTTGAACATTTTGCTGTATTTTTTGGGGGGGGGGGGGAGGTCCGGTCATGGGGCTTGAACTCTGGGTCTGGGCGCTGTCCCTCAGCTCTTCAGCTCAAGGCTAGCGCTCTACCACTTGAGCCACAGCACCACTTCCGGCTTTTTTCTTTTTGCTTATGTGGTGCTGGGGAATCAAACCCAGGGCCTCATGCATGCAAGGCAAGTACTCTACCACAAGCCACCTTCCCAGCCCCCTGCTCCCCTTTTAAGCCCAGCCTCTCCCCACAGCTGCTGGAAGTGAACAAGCAGTGGGACCATCATTTCCGATCCATGAAGCAGCAGTATGAACAGAAGGTAAGGGCTCAGGAATACCCAGTTTTCATCTTGCCACTTCCTTCTCAGCAGCTTTGAGCCTTAGAGGGGACTGAGCTGAGCCCCCTCCCCCCCACCCCTCATGGCTGGGAGGAGAAGCTGGGCGACAGTGTGGGGGTGGGGTGGGGTGCTGCTATACTCTGCCATTGCTCACACTGGCCTCTGCCCCTCAACCCAGATCACTGAGCTGCGTCAGAAGCTGGTGGACCTGCAGAAGCAGGTGACTGACCTGGAGGCGGAGCGGGAGCAGAAGCAGCGTGACTTTGACCGCAAGCTCCTCCTGGCCAAATCCAAGATCGAAATGGAGGAGGCAAGTGAGATGCTGACCCTGTGGGTCCAGGTTCCTCTCCCTGGGTAGCCAAGAGTGCATGCCATCCATGAGCAGGGATGGAGTTGAACGGTTCTAGACACATGTCAAGGGCTGTGTGGCTCCAGACAAAGGCACTTGCCCTCCCTGAGCCTCAGTTTCCTTCCTGAAAATGGAGGAGGTTAGGTTAGCTCCTGCTAATCCTAGTTACTCGGGACTGAAGATCACAGTTCAGATCCAGTCAGGGTGAGACTCTTTATCTCCAATAAACTGTAAAAAAGCTGGAAGTGGTACTACCACTCAAGTGGTAAAGCGCTAGCCTTGAGCAAGAAGAAGCTCAGGGACAGTACTCAGGCTCCAAGTTCAAGCCCCAGGACCAGCATGTGTGCATACACATGTGTGCACATACCCATACACACAGAGAAAACTTTACAGACTGAGGAACCAAGCAGAGAAGCAGATAATATGAAAGATACAAGCTGGGCACTTGTGGCTCACTCCTGTAATCCTAGCTACCCAGGAGGCTGAGATCTGAAGATAGCAATTTGAAGCCAGTTCGGGCAAGAAAGGCATGAGAGTCTTCAGTTAATCAGCAAGAAGCCAGAAGTGTAGCTGTTGCTCAAGTGGTAGAGCACTAGCCTTGAGCAAAAAGGAAGACACAAAGCTGGGCACCAGTGGCTCATGCCTGTAATCCTAGCTACTCAGGTGGCTGAGATCTGAGGATTACCATTCAAAGCCAGCTGGGGCAGGAAAGTCCATGAGACTCTTACCTCAGTAAACTGCCAGAAAACGGGAAGTGGTGCTGTGGCTCAAGTGGTAGAGCACTTGCCTTGAGCTGAAGAGCTGAGGGACAGCACCCAGGCCCAGCATTCAAGCCCCATGACCAAAAAGGAAAGACACAGCAGCCTTAGGCTGATGCTCAGTGCTCAGAGTAGTGATTGTATTTTGTAGTCAAGAGGCTGAAGCAGACAAAATTTCATTTATTTATCTTCTCAGCATTATCCCTCAGAGCATGTCCCAGGTACTGTGCTAGGCATCAGATTGAGCATGGACTGGCCAGCCTTACCCTTGTCAGGGAATGTATGCCACATGACTAGGTAAAAGCAAATACAGAAAAGTGGGTTACTACTGCAAGGAAAAAAAGCTGCAGAAAAGAAAGCGTGGGCCTGTGGGGGCCAAGTCATGTAGTGGGAAGCAGGAGCAAGTCCTTGAAGAAATGACATCTATACATGTCACTGGTGCTATTCAGAGCTCTTCCGAGTCATAGGACAGCTAAAAGAAGAAAGGCCAAGGCTGGGAATGTGGTTTAGTGGTAGAGTGCTTGCCTAGCATGCATGAAGCCCTGGGTTCGATTCCTCAATACCACATACACAGAAAAAGCCGAAAGTGGTGCTGTGGCTCAAGTGCTCGAGTGCTAGCCTTAAGCAAGAGAAGCTCAGGGACAATGCCCAGGCAGGCCCTGAGTTCAAGCCCCAAGACTGGCCAAAAAAAAAAGCTCAACTGGATGTAGTGGCGAATACCTATAATCCCAGTACTCAGAGGCTGAAACGGGAGCATCATGAGTTTGAGGCCAGCCTGAACTACATAGTGAGACTTTATCTCACTTAAAACGGGAGGTGCGTGTGACTCCCAGACTCCGGGGACTTTATTCCCAGTACCTTTGTGAGAAGTGGGAATGGGCTCTGCCTGGCCTAAGGAAGGCCTTCTCACTGTGGATTGGGTGTGTAAGTTCTTCCTTAGGTTGTGACTCTCCAGGTCCTCCTCTAAGGATTAGCCCGGGAGGAGGAGGTCACTGCCTGTGTTTTCCCTGGTAGGGCAGAGCATTTGGGGCACACAGCTGGCCCTGGTCCCTGCTCCCCCTCACTTGAGCAGATGAGGCAATCCTTGGGATCTGGGGTCTGGGTTCTTGCCTGTCCGCTGGGGGAGGTGGGACATTTCCAAACACAATCATGTCCTGTAGATCAGGGCGCAGGCAAGTGAGGTAGTGCTTTATCCTGGAGCCCTTCAATGGGAAATCAGGACAGACTGTTCTCACCAAGGCTACCCTGAGCCTTCTCTGTTGGACACAGCTCACTGCTGGTTTGGACAGTGTGCACTTAAAGGTCATACAGAGCTAGGTGGACCCTGATCCTGTGGTCTGTCTCCTAATCCGCATGAATCCATGTGATGGGACCGTGAAACATTCGCCCCTCCCCAGCCTCCTCCCACAGGTCACCACGGTGGTCAGTTTCCTCTCTCTGGGCCTTCTTGCATTTGTGCACAGAGACACTGTCTTTTTTGGGTGTGTCCTATCTTTGCTGTGCGCCATGCTGCCCCACCACTTGGGCGGGAGAGGAGTGCAGCTAGGAACAGGGGTTCCGGCCTTGGCTGAGCCGTCTCCCCTCTGGACGTGTCCCCATCCCATTGTATAAAGTGACTAGGACTCGCTGCCCTGCTGCGATCCCCAGTGCTTCTGCCATGTGCTGCATTTGCATCTGTCTTTTTTATATTTTTGAGGTGGGACTAGGTATTAACTGAGAATCTGAAGCTCTGTCACTTAAGCATGCCCCAGTTCTTTTGTTCTTGAGATAGGGTCTTGCATTAACTCTGCCTAGGTTAGCTTCGATCCTCTTGTCTCCAGGTAGCTGGTGTTACAGGTGTGCACCATCATGCCCAGCCACTTATCTCTTTGAGCATTCTCCCTTTTGTAGACACAGAGACTATAAGAGGACCTGTAGAGGTTCCCATGATTCATCACTCTCTATGAATCACAGAAGACCCCTCTGTCAATCTGGTGGAAACTATGCCTTTCTCCCCAGAAAATTGACACATATAATATTTTACAGTCAGTTTTAGGGTTCACATTGACATGAGTCATCCCTATGACTCATATTAAGAACCTCCTTAAACCCTGGCATTTAAAGACTGACGGCTAGGGGAATGCCTCCGGTCTCTGCTGGTCTCTGCTTGTCCTGTTGTCAGAATCCAGGTCCCATCTGGCAGGCTGGCAGGCAGGCAGGCAGGCAGGCAGGCAGGCAGGCAGGCAGGCAGGCAGGCAGGCAGGCAGGCAGGCATGCATCACTGCTGCCCCCAGGTGCCTTAGGTGAGTACTGCAACGTGGCAGTGGGAGAGGGAGCAGAGGAGAGCAGGCATGAGTGAGCAAGGCTGGGGCAGGCCGGCACTCTCAGGCTCCTGGAGAGGCTCCCCGCTAACCAACCCTGTGCTCCCTGCAGACAAACAAGGAGCAGCTGACGGCAGAGGCCCAGGAGCTGCAGCAGCGGGTCAAGTACCTGCAGGACCAACTAGGCCCACTCACCCGGCAGCGCGAGTACCACGAAAAGGAGATCCAGCGGCTGAACAAGGTGGGTGTCTTGGCCCTGGTCCCCTGAATGGAGAAGGCTGCCCTGAGCCCAGATGCCAGACCCACTCCATTGCCTGAGCCCCCAGCTCAGGAAAGTGACCACAGTTTCCACCCCCTCTGTCCGTCCTTCCCACATTGGGAAGTACGCATGCTCACTAGCATGTACCCTATGCCTTCCTCATTGCTGGCACTGAGCATGTGTTCAGGGCTGCTCACTGGGAGGGAGAGGATGAGTTTTCTCAGCCCTATGAAGTAGGGTCCAAGAGGTGGGGCACCCCAAGTGGAGGCTGATAAAGCAGAAACCTTCTGGCCTGAGCCAGGGTGGGTAGCAATATGGCCGCCATGTGGCAAGGTGGCTCTAGTTCTGATTCAGCTTCTCTGTGTTTAGATTAGTTAAGCTGAGCCTCCCAGAGCCTCATGTTGCTGCCTGCAGGCTGATTAGCATCATCACAGCGCAGCTCACCTTCTCTGTGGGTCCGGGAGGAGCCAGCGTGATAGAGCTGGGAGAGGAAGTGTTTTGTTCTCCACGGGCCTGGGGAGTTGTGCCGCTTACTGCTCAGTCTATTCTTTGGCTGTTTCTCCTTCCTCTGTTTCCTGGTCATCACCCTGCTAGGACAACCCTCTAACCGTGGTTATTGCTCTTTTAGAACCATTGGCTGTGTCACATGAAGAGCCAGGGTATTTGGAGGTCTAAATGCAGGCATAATCTCCCCATATTGCTGTCCTGCCACTGGAAGATTTTCTTAGCAGAATTGAGGATAGACCTGGTGCTAGTTCCTCACGCCTGTAATCCTAGCTACTCTAGAAGCTGAGATCTGAGGATCACAGTTTGAAGCCAGCCTGGACAGAAAAATCTGTGAGACATTCTATCTCTAATTAATCAGCAAAAAACCAAAAACAAACAATAAACAGAAGTAGAAGTATGGCTCAAATGGTAGACCCTCCAGCCTTGAGAGGAAAGCACCAGCCTAGCACCAGCACATCTATACACACACACATGCACGCGCGCGCGCACGCGCGCACACACACACACACACACACACACACACACACACACACACACACACACACACACACACACACACACACACACACACACACACACACACACACACACACACACACCCCCCCCCCCCTGGGGACAGAGATACCTGTGTATATGAGTCGTGCAAGGCATGACTATGATTTCAAGCCAGTCTCTTGCCTGAGGCTGGACCTCAATCTATGCATCCTAAAAATGGAAGAAAATGGAGGACTTGGCTGGGACTGTGGCTCAGTGGCAGAGTTCCTGCCTAGCATGCATGAAGCCCTGGGTTTGATTCCTCAGTACCACATAAACAGAAAAGGCCAGAAGTGGCACTGTTGCTCACATAGTAGAGTGCTAGCCTTGAGCAAAAGAAGCTCAGGGACAGCGCCCAGGCCCTGAGTTCAAGCCCCACAACTGGCCCCCCCCCCCAAAAAAAATGTGGGGGGTGAAGTAGGAGAGGAAAGAAGAGGGGTCCTTTTTCTCAGAGCATCCTGAATTTATTCCTGGTTCAGTGTTCTCCTCAGGGCTGAGTCTACATTGAGGAAAATCTGTTTGCCCATAGTCCTGGGAGTCCTGCCGTCTAAGGGCTGAAGTCCAGGTGCAGATGAAGGGTGAACAGCCTGAGAGGTGTCAGGAGTTGTAACAAGCCAACAGCTCCTCTTCTGGTTTTCTAGTGGTTAATTGGAGATAAGAGTCTCATGGACTTTCCTACCTAGGCTGGCTTTGAACCATGATTTTCAGATTCAGCCTCCTGAGTAGCTAGGCTTACAGGCGTGATTATTTTCGTGGTCTCATTATTGATGTTTCAGCTCATGAAACTAAGGAGGAGCAGGTTGGGGGAAGCGGGGCACGCAGGGCGCCCTGGTGTTGGAGGAAGGGATGCTGAGGTTCTTCATAGCTCTGTACTAAGAAATGAGCCATACCTATTTATAGAAAGAGATCCTCTCCTACCTGAGGACCCCAGTTAAGATCCTAGACTGGGTTGTAGTCCCTGTGTTGCCCCTTACTAGCTGTGTGACCTGGGGCAAGTCACTGAGGTCTCTGAGCCTCAGTTTTCACATCTGTCAAATGGGACAGTGATCCTAGTCTTTCGTCATGGGGTGGTGATGAGGCTTCCTTGAAGTGCTAGGTACACAGTGTTACGGATCAGGAGATCATTTGTTGCATGGTACTGGTGGTGTGATTATTATCCAGAAGAGGGTCCTTGAGGATGATCTCCAAAGGGGCCTGACTTCCAGGGCTGATGGTCCTGTCTCTTCCTAACCCCAGGCCCTGGAGGAAGCTCTGAGCATCCAGGCCTCCCCTTCATCTCCATCAGCATTTGGGAGCCCTGAAGGAGCTGGAGCCCTCCTGAGGAAGCAGGAACTGGTCACACAGAATGAGCTGCTGAAACAGCAGGTGAGGATTCCGGGAGGCTGGGCCAAGATGGGTTTGGCGTCACATGACCCTAGCTGTGGGCCTGGGCCTCTGCGCGCTCACCAGTTTAGCTTTTCCAGCTGCATGTCCCCAGCTGCCTTCACCCCTCTACTAGCCAGCCCTGGGCCCCTCCCCCACCTCCTTCCCAGCTCCTGTTTACCTAGTTAGGAAAAGGCTTTTAACAAAAATCATTTTGTATTCTAGTCATGTGTTCAACAATGTATATTTCGTTCCATTTGAGAATTTTGTCTAAAATTAAAAGTAAGTTTTAGATAGGGCATGGTGGAACACTCCTGTAATCCCAGCTACTCCGGAGGCAAGAGGAGAATCTGGAAAGAAGAGGAGAATCACCACCAGCCGGGGCAAAGTTAGCTAATGACCCTGTCTCAAAACAAAGTAAAAGCAAAAGGGCCAAGTGCTAGAGCACTCTAAATTTAATCCTAAAAAGGAAGGAAGAAAAATGAATGCAGTTTTCAATAGAAAAACCTGTTCCCCACAAATATTAAAGAACTATAAGAGCTTAGTATAGTAAACACCCACATCTCAACTTTTTTTTTTTGCTGGTCCTAGGCCTTGAATTCAGGGCATGGGCACTGTTCTTGAGCCTCTCTGTGCTCAAGGCAAGCACTCTACCACTTTAGCCACAGTGCCACTTCTGGCTTTTTCTATGTATGTGGTACTGAGGAATCGGACCCAAGAGTTTATTCATGCTAGGCAAGCACTCTACCACTAAGCCACCTTCCCAGCCCCATGTCTCAGCATTTTTGACAGATGAAGACTTTGAACTTGGGTTCTCTTTCTCAGCGATGGGCAAGCACTGGAGAAGCATTACCGACCCACTAGTCTAAAACACATGCCCTCTTAGAGGGTCACGGAGCAGGAAGGAAACAGAAAAGTTATAGAGCTCCCAAGTGGTTCCATGCTATTGCATGCTGCCCGCCCAGCTTTCCTGAATCATCTTGACCTTTGTCCAAATCTGGGGAGAGTGTTCAGGTCCTCTGCCCTCACAGCTAGCCAAACCCGAACCTCATTCTTCTGCCATGCCAGTTCTGTGGCCTCCACTCTGTGGGCCTTAGCAGCTGAAAGCATTGGCTGATGGCGTTCAACCTATTTATTATAAGCCATGGGATCTCGGTTTAAATAAAGGCCTGCCTTAAAGCCCAGAACCTAAGATAGTGAGATCCAGGATTATTCTGAGTGTGTTTGGGCATAGAGCTGGGGGTATGCCCATCCCAGTCCCCAGGACATCCCCAAGACCATGCAGAAGAGGCGGGGTCTGATCTTGAGCGCAGGAAGCCTCTGCTTCCTGAGGCGAGTGCTCAGAGCTGACCCCCTCTCCCCTACACCTGCCGGGGTTCCTCCAGGTGAAGATCTTTGAGGAGGACTTCCAGAGAGAGCGCAGCGACCGGGAGCGCATGAATGAGGAGAAGGAGGAGCTGAGGAAGCAGGTGGAGAAATTGCAGGCTCAGGTCACCTCGTCCAATGCCCAGGTAGGAGCCCCTGGGCCAGGGAGGGCATCAGCCTATCTTCATGGGAGACAGGAGGGAGAGGGGTATGAGGGCACCTGGAGACTTGATGGGTCAGCACACAACCTGGTCTGTCTCCAGCTCTTTGCCACACTCCTTTTAGGACCTTCACAAGTTCAGTGCCCTCTCTGGCCTTTGTGTAATGTGGAGGTCTAACTCAATAGCATCTCCAGCCCTGCACTTCTGTAGTTGGTGTCGATGCTGTAGAGGAACAAATCCATGCACTTGCTCACAGAGAGATGCACAAACCCTCCTGACCTGAGTCCAGTCCACTCCCGGGCACCACACAGCCAACAGCCTGGACTCTGCCCTGCCCCCTGGGGATGCCCAACACACCGGCCCTAGAGAGGTGCCCTAGACCCCGGCCTGGCCAGAGCCACCTGTGTACACAGGCTTTTCCCTCCCCTCCTCCAGCTAAAAGCTCTCAAAGATGAAGAGAAGGCCAAAGAAGCACTGAAACAGCAGAAAAGGAAAGCGAAGGTGAGAGGTTGGAGGAAGGAGAGGGTACCTACTGCCAGCCAAGGTCACAAGGTGTAGATGGCGGCAAACTGGCACACAGAGCTGAGGATGTGCAAGGTGTGGCGCTCGTGGGTCACTGTGGCCCACAGTCTGTGCCCTCCGCCCACGTCTCAGCCTCTCCTGCCTTGAGGGAACTAGGGTTCTGGGTGTAGGGCGATCTGGGGGTGGCCCATCCGATGTGCCACAGGCCAGGGCCAGATGAGCCTTTTCTTGCAGGCCTCAGGAGAGCGCTACCACGTGGAGCCCCACCCGGAGCACCTGTGCGGGGCCTATCCCTACGCCTACCCTCCTATGCCAGCCATGGGGCCACCCCACGGCTTTGAGGACTGGTCCCAGATCCGCTATCCCCCGCCCCCTATGGCTATGGAGCACCCACCTCCACACCCCAATTTGCGCCTCTTCCATTTGGTGAGTCTGTGTGCCCCTCCTTCCCTGCAGGACACCCCAAGGGTGAGAGGGAGGTCAAGGGAGGGGTGAGGAGCCCTGGTCTGGACAGCAGGCTGATGGCTGGCAGCAGCCCTGCTTCTCCCATGTGCAAGGATTCTACAGCCACAGCTGCCCTGCCAGCAGTGGGTCATGGTGTAGAGTGGAGAAGGCCGCGTGAGGTTCCAGGCAGGAGCCTGGCTTGTGTTGTCCTCATATGGGCCTAGTTTGGAGCTTCACCCTGGCCTCTCCCTCTCATGTTCTCTTTGCCCCATTCTCTCTCTCTCTCTCTCTCTCTCTCTCTCTCTCTCTCTCTCTCTCTCTCTCTCTCTCTCTCTCTCTTTCTCTCTCTCTCTTTTGTCTGTTGTGGGGCTTGAATTCTGGGCCTGGGTGCTGTCCCTGAGCTCTTCAGCCAGAGGCAAGCACTCTCCCACTTGAGCCACAGCTCCACTTCATTTTCTGGTGGTTAATTGGAGATAAGTCTCACAGACTTTCCTGTCCGGTCTGGCTTTGAACTGCAATCCGCAGATCTCAGCCTCCTGAGTAGCTAGGATGGCAGGCCTGAGCCACCAATGCCTGGCCATTCCTCTTCTCTTTGTTTGGCTTGCTTTCCTATCATTCTTTCTCTGAAGAGCTCTGTCACCTGCCCCTCTCCTCCAGTCCCTGCCACACTGTAGCTCAGGCAGTACTCCTGTCTTCTTCAGACTTCTTGCATATGACCATTGGTTTCCTGTTTTAGATTTAAGTTCTAAGTTTTTTATTGTTCAGGATATTGTGGCATTTTCTTCATGCTTCTGATGTATTTTCACCATATTTATCCCTCCCATTCCTCTTTCTTTCTTTCTTGTCCTCTTCCCAAATCAAATACAGATTCAATTTTTTTTTTTTTTTTTTGGTTGGTCGTGGGGCTTGAACTCTGGGCTTGGGCGCTGACCCTGCACTCTTCAGCTCAAGGCGAGTGCTCTACCACTTGAGCCACAGCACCACTTGAGCCACAGCACCACTTCTGGTTTTCAAGTGGTTTATTGGAGACAAGAGTCTCATGGACTTTCCTGTCTGGGCTGGCTTTGAACTGCGATCCTCAGATCTCAGCCTCCTGAGTAGCTAGGATTATAGGTGTGAGCCACTGGCGCCCGGCTTACAGATTCAATTTTTAAGAACAGTTTAGAGTATCAGAAAAATAAGCAGAAAGGTTAAGGAGCTCCCATATACAGTGTCATCTGACATTCTCTATTATTAACATCTTCCAGCCTAGCACTCGTGACTCACGCCTGTAACCCTGGAGGCTAAGATCTGAGGATTATAGTTTGAAGCCAGCCTGGGCTTCTTCTTTTTTTTTTTGGGTCCGGTCGTGGGCCCTGCACTCTGGGCCTGGGCGCTGTCCCTCAGCTCTTCAGCTCAAGGCTAGCGCTCTACCACTTGAGCCACAGCACCACTTCGGCTTTTTTCTTTTTGCTTATGTGGTGCTGAGGAATTGAACCCAGGGCCTCAGGCTCTACCACTGAGCCATCTTCCCAGCCCCAGCCTGGGCTTCTTATCTCAAGTTAACCACCAAAAGGCCAGAAGTAGAGTTACAGCTCAAGTGATAGAGTGTTAGTCTTGAGGAAAAACCTCAGGGATAGTACCCAGGCCCTAAGTTCAAGCCCCAGGACTGGCAAAAAAAAAATCTTTTTTTTCCATTAAATAATATATTGGTTATAATTGATGAGCCAGGATTGATTTATTTCTACTCCATAGTTTGTATTTAATTATAACTGATATTATAATAATAATTAACAGCCCATGTGATTATTCTTCATATGCATATTTTTTTAACTGGAATATGTTAAGGGATTTCATGGTGCCTATTCCATACTTTTTTTTTTTTTTTGGGTCCGGTCTTGGGGACTGAACTCTGGGCCTGGATGCTGTCCCTCAGCTAGCTCTTCAGCTCAAGGCTAGCGCTCTACCACTTGAGCCACAGTGCCACTTCCGGCTTTTTTCTTTTTTTTTTTTTGGTCCAGTCGTGGGGCCTGAACTCTGGGCCTGGGCACTGTCCCTCAGCTCTTCAGCTCAAGGCTAGCGCTCTACCACTGGAGCCACAGCGCCACTTCCGGCTTTTTTCTTTTTGCTTATGTGGTGCTGAGGAATCGAATCCAGGGCCTCAGGCATGCAAGGCAAGCGCTCTACCACTGAGCCACCTTCCCAGCCCCATCCATACATTTTTATGATGGTATTTCAACTGTTTTTCCCATTACTGTTCTAATCCTCTTCGCTTCCCCTGCTTTTCCCTTCTTCCCCCTTCCTAGGAACCTTCTTTTACCTACATCACCTTGGTTGTTGCATTTCTCCCTATCTCCCACAACTGAGAGTAAACATTTGATACTGGTCTTTATGGGACTGGCTTATTTCATTTACCGTGACAATATTCAGTTCACCCATTTTCTAACAAACATTTATACACATCTTTAGACACTAGAGTGTGGTGGTTAAGAAATTGGTTGAAGTTAAGCCAGGCACCAGTGGCTCAGGCCTGTAATTCTAGCTACTCAGACTGAGATCTGAGGATCTGAGATCTGAGTTTAAAGCCAGCCCTGGCAGGAAAGACCATCTCCAATTAGCCACCAAAAAGCTAGCAATGAGGCTGGGGCTTTGAGTAAAAGAAGCTCAAGGACAGCACCTAGGCCCTGAGTTCAAGCCCAGGACTGGCACAAAAAAAAAAAAAAAAAGGCCAGGTGGCTCATGACTGTAATCTTAGCTACTCAAGAGGCTGAGATCTGAGGATTGTGGTTCAAAACCAGCCCAGACAGCCGGGCGCTGGTGGCTCACACCTGTAATCCTAGCTACTCAGGAGGCTGAGATCTGAGGATCGCGGTTCAAAGCCAGCCCGGGCAGGAGAGACTGTGAGACTCCTATCTCCAATAAACCACCAGAAAACCAGAAGTGGCGCTGTAGCTCAAGTGGTAGAGCGCTCGCCTTGAGCTGAAGAGCTGAGGGACAGCGCCCAGGCCCAGAGTTCAAGCCCCACGACCGACAAAAAAAAAAAAAACCAGCCCAAACAGAAAAGTCCGTGAGGCTCTTACTTCCAGTAAACCACCAGAAAACCAGAAGTGGTGCTGTGGCTCAAGTGGTAAAATGCTTGCCTGGAGCTGAAGAGCTCAGGGACAGTGCCTAGGCCCAGAGTTCAAGCCCCATGACTAACCAAAAAAAAAAAAAGATTAACTGAAGTTGCAGAGACATTCCTTCAAAGCTAAGCTTTGAACATCATCCTAGCTGGGTGATGTTTCCTAGTCCTTCTGAGATTCAGGTACTTCATTTGAGAATGAAAACCTGGATAGTTATTTGGCTTTTTTTCTTTCTTTCTTTCTTTTTTCTTTTTTGCCAGTTCTAGGGCTTGAACTCAATGCCTGGGCAATCAATGTTCCTGAGCTTCTTTTGCTCAAGGCTAGCACTCTACCACTTGAGCCACAGAGCCACTTCTAGCTTTTTTTGTGTATGTGGTACTCAGGAATTAAACCCAGGGCTTCATGTATGCTTGGCAAGCACTCTACCACTAAGCCACATACCCAGCCCTAACCTGGATAGTTGTTAGGTTTAACTTATACTTGGTTAATGAGTATTTAGTACTATTGCGTCATTGTAGCTTCGAGTGTTGTTTTCAATTGTGGTCATTGAGTAAACCTCCATTTCATTGCAGCCAGAATATACCTGGCGTCCACCCTGTGCAGGGATGCGAAATCAGAGTTCCCAAGTGGAGCTGCCCACCGCCAGGCCTGCAGAACCAGGTAGGTCTAGTCCTCTGGCCCTAAGCCTGCCTCCTCCTGGGGGAGACAACTTCATCCCTACCAGGAAGCCCCAGGTTAGGAATGTTACTTTCTGAGCTTGGTGAAGGCAAGGTCTAGCTTCTGGACTAGTGTTGAAAAGAACATGATGTTAACTGCAGAGTCAACTGCAAGAGGAGTCAGGGATTTTTTTTTTTTACGGTTCCTGATTTTTTAGAGTAAATTGGCCAAGAAGCAATCAGCAGTAGCCATGCCACTACTCTAATGCTGTGCTGCCTTATAAATTCCTCTACCAGATTAACTAGCCCATCACCTTTAAACTCAGCCTCACACAAGTCTCAGGACACAGACAAAACATAGACAAGTTCTTTGCCAGGCTGAAACATAAGGGGCATCTTGTCCAGTTTCCAAGAGCCCTCATTCCCATCTGAAGGCTCATGAGCCTGGGCCTTACTATTTGCATTCCTACTACCATGCTGTTCTTCTGAGTTCTTATCATATTCACCCATTACATTCTGAATGTATCATTCTAAGCTATTTCTAGAGTACCAAGCCTATTCCAAAGGTTTCTAAACCACAAATTCCAAACACAGCAATGACCCTACTTCTTCCTTTTTTTTTTTTTTGTCGGTCATGGGGCCTGAACTCTGGGTCTGGGCACTGTCCCTCAGCTCTTCAGCTCAAGGCTATCGCCCTACCACTTGAGCCACAGCGCCACTTCTAGCTTTTTCTGCTTATGTGGTGCTAAGGAATCGAACCCAGGGCCTCATGCATGCAAGACAAGCACTCTACCACTGAACCACCTTTCTAGCCCCCACTTTTTTGTTTTTTGTTGTTGGTGGTCACGGGGACTGAACTCTGGGCCTGGGCACTGTCCCTCAGCTTTTCAGCCCAAGGCTAGCGCCCTACCACTTGAGCCACAGCGCCACTTTCAGCTTTTTCTGCTTATGTGGTGCTGAGGAATCGAACCCAGGGCCTCATGCATACAGGGCAAGCACTCTACCACTGAGCCACCTTCCAAGTCTCTGACCCTGCTTCTTATGGCAATACCCTGTTAGCTTTGTGTCTTTGGGACAAAATACCTGAGACAGTCACTTGGTAAGGAGAAAGATAAGTTTTGGCTCATAGTGAGAGCTTTCAGCCCATGATGGTTTGGTCCTATCTCTTTGGGCCTGGAGTGGTCCAGCACATTATGGTAAGAGTATGAGGCAGTGCAAGTCTAGCAGCCAGGAAGCCAGAAAGAAAAACAGGAAGGAGCTGCTTTGAGGCATACTTCCAGTAACCTCACTTCCTTCCACTAGGCACCAACTCCTAACAGCTCCATTGCAATAGCAAGACATCTTGACAGGCCACTAAGCCTTTAGCACATGAGCCTCTGGGGGACATTTAAGATCCAAACCATAACACTGCGATAAGAGTGAAGTATGGTGTTCAGTTCAAGGATCTGAGTGGATAGCATGGCTGCAGCCACGAACAAAAGAAAAGAGTAATAGACAAGGTGTGAGACGTGGACAGGTCCATACGGTGCAGAGTATGATGGGCTGGGCTAGTCTGAATCCTAAACATAGCATTGAATATTTTGTGGAGGGCAGTACTAGGGTTTGAACTCAAGACCTTGTGTTGCTCTGCTTGTACACAACCATTTGAACCATGACTCTGGCCTTGCTTTTTTTGCTGGTTATTTTGGAAGATGGAGTCTAGTTGACTTTCCTGTCAAGGCTGGCTTTGAACCATCATCCTCCAATCTCAGCCTCCTGAGTACATGGTATCACAGGTGTGAGCCACCAACACCTGGCCTGGAGTCTTACATACGTTCCCTCCAGGCACAGTATCTAGCATAAGACGTTTGCCCTCCCACATTTGCTAGTCAAGAGGAGACTCTGAGCCTAGCGACTGTCTTCACTCCCTGCATGTCTCTATGAGGCAGGAGGCACTGCCCCACCTGTGAGGCCCTGGGAGCTGAATCATATCTAGTGGGTGAGAGCAGCGTGGAGGCCAAGTCCATCTCAGTATGACACGGAACTTTCTAGAAAAAGAGTCACAGGTGTACAGACATGGATCCAGCTGTGTCAGGAGGTGTAGAGCCAGCAGAGGCCACAGAACAGATGATGAAAGAAGTGGGGAGGCCTGGTGCTTACAAGGGATTGGACTCCCACTCTTTTCCACAGAGGATCTGCGGAGTCTGGTTGTTAAGTGGAAGAAGGTGGCTAGAGGAGAGGGCCAGCCCTCCGCAGGAGCTGCTCACTTCAGGAAGCCGGAACCAGACTGACTGGGCTCACTACCTCCCACATCTAGGGTTTTGTGGGGGGGTTTTGTTGTTGTTGTTTATTTCTTGCCAGTCCTGGGGCTTGAACTCAGGGCCTGGGCACTGTCCCTGAGCTTTTGCTCAAGGCTGGAGCTCTACCACTTGAGCCACAGTGCCACTTCCACCTTTTTCTGTTTATGTGGTACTGAGGAATCGAACCCAGGACTTCCTGCATGCAAGGCACGCACTCTACCACTAAGCCACATTCCCAGCCCACATTTGGGACTTTGGACATGTCTTTTTAAGACCCCTCTTTGTCCCATCTCCCTCCTCCTTGGAAAGGTCATAATTGGCCTGCTCCACAGGGCTGGAGAGGACTGCATAAGGAGAGTCCCAGCACTCAGTAGTACTCAGGGCTAGCTAAGTACTCCCTGCTTCCAGCTTAAGACTTGAGAACTGACCGTCCCTCACCATGTGTTAAGTCCTCAACGCTTTCGTTTATTTAGAGTCTGCAAAAAAATGACAGTGAGGGGCCTCAGTGAGACCAGCTTGTGTCATTTGGCTCCACCTTCGTCTTGCAGAGCCAGCTGACCTCAGATTACCCAAAAACTAGAGCTACAGGCTCTGCATGGCCAGAGCCTTGGCAAGAAGGGAGGCTGACAGGAGCCGTCCGCTCACATCTCCAGCCCTAGACTGGGTACGAGACTCGGAGACTTCACCCAGTGGCCCTCCACTGGGGCTTCTCTTCTGGTTGGGCCAGGAAGAACTCACTACTGCCTCGTACTGCCAAGTGGAGAGAGACTTTGATCTGCCATCCTTTGAGAAAGCATCTGGACATCAGCCTTTATGAATGAGATGCAACTAAGACCCCCTTCCTTTTAAAACCTACACAGAAGTGGTTTGGGGCCCATCTGGGCGCACATCCGATTAATGTGTGTATGTGTGTGTATCATTTTTGCTTCAAGTTCTATAGTCTATGCCCTCACCTCAGGGAGGAGCTGCGGAAGAGTGGGTTTGTCTGTAGAGCACAAGAGAACCATGGGATATTCTGATGCTGGGCACTCCACTGCCACCCCCCACAGTAGCCTTGCAAGAGCCATCAGAGCCTGGGATCGAGGCCGCACCACCAACCATGTCTGCTGAGGGGCCTGAAGTCGCCGGGCCCTCAGCCCTCACGGCTAGCGGTTTGTGGTGCCAGTGGCCTGCACTGGGGTGGCTGCTTCCAGGCACCTGTTTGTATGGATTTTGGACATAAATCCAAGTGGAATATCTCTCTTCTGTGGCTGGTATTCTTTCTTTCATGTCCTACCTACAGTTCTCCTCTCCATTGGTTAGTGTACTGGACCCTTCCCACTACCCACCTCTCCCCATCCTCCCGAGAGCATCCCATCCTCCTGAGAGCATCACTAGCCTTTGGGGGGCAATCAGGTGGAGCAGTGGAAAGAGTCAGGGGACCTGGCTTTAAATTCTGGTTTCTGGTTTTTTGGTGTTTGGGTTTTTTCTGGTTGGCTGGCTGGTTTTTGTCAATCATAGGGCTTGAACTCAGGGCCTGGGCTCTGTCCCTAAGCTGTCTCTTTTTTGCTCAAGGCTAGTACTCTACCACTTTGAGCCGCGGCACCACTTCTAGTGGTTCATTAGAGAGAAGATTCTCAAGGACTTTTCTGCCTGAGCTGGCTTTGAACCACGATCCTCAGATCACAGCCTCCTAAGTAGCTAGGATTACAGGCGTGAGCCACTGGTGCCTGGCTTAAATTCTAGTTTTCACTTCACTCACCAGGAGATCTGGGCCTCAACACCTCTACTCAGCCCTAACTGCCTCTGAGAACTATGAGCAAGGATGAGAGCCCATGTGAACGGGTGTGTGAACACCAGATGCTGAGTCAGGGAAGCAATTATGGGCCTAAGTAGAAGCCACAATCAGATCTCTTCTTTGGCTTTCACCTTTCCCATCCCCTAAGCAGGAGGAAGCACCACAGAAGACTCAGCTGCTATAGAAAGGCCTTTACTGGGCAGACGGGTGTGAGAAGCGCCAGTGGACAGGGTGAGAGGAGAGGGCACATCCTCAGAAGGCCGGGGTGGCATCCCTGCCCAGGGGTGTCAGCCTGAATGCACTAAGGGCTGGCCCCACAGGCAGGCTCAGGGGAGGCCCGCCCACCAGGGCTTCGGGCCTCTCCCTCATGGAGATGCCACGCCTGACCCAGGGTACGTGGTCCTCACTCTCACATCTGCCTTGGCTGATCTCAGGGAGCACTATGGGATAGGGGTAGGGGGTGGAGGGGGGGAAAGGGTGGGGCTCTTCAGGAAGGAAAGAGGCTGGGCAGTGCCAGGGAGGACTTGAGTGGTACCATTGAGGCAGTTGACCCCAAGGTTGAAGTCCAGTTGAACGTAGTGCTGCTAGTTTTTTTCTTGGGGGGGTCTGGTGAAAGTAAATGGTTTTATTGGAACAGAGAAATGGAGAGCAAGGACTATGGGTCAGCCTGCCCACAGCCCAGGCTCGTGCATGGTACACTGCCTCGGGCACTCGGACAGGTAAGGCTTGGCTGTGTCCTCGTGTGCATGTACACACATGGTCACACATTGGAGGCTCGTGTGCAGATGCCCACAAGCACAGTGGTACACACAATTGTGTGCATGCATTGTGCCAGGGTGGGGACTTGGGTAGTAAAAAAAGAAGAAAGGGCGGAGTGGTCTATGGTGGTAGGATGTGGCTGGAAATGGGGGTTCCCTCCTGAAGAGCATCCCTGCGTGGTGGGCGGGGCGGGGCGGGCTGTTACTTCCCCTGGGCCCTCAGGGCTGCCTGCTGCCTCATGTGAGCCAGGATGTCCATCTTGACGTTGCTGACCGTGGTGCGGTGGTACCAGCGCATGACGGGTTTGCCATCTGGCCCCACCAGGAACTTCTCAAAGTTCCAGCGGATGTCATGGACCTTCATGGGCTCCCAGAAGAGGCGGCCGGGCGAACCCAGGAGCTCCGCAGTGGGAGGACAGGAGTTCTGGGATAGGGATGGAAGAAGAGCTTGAGGTCCCGCCCGGAGCCCTCCATCCCACCATCCTCCCTAGGCCTCCAGGAGGGATAGACCCAAGACACTGCCAGTCTGAAGGGTGACTAGAAGATTCTGAGGTCCTTGGCCTGTCCCTCCCAGGCCTCATCTGGGGGCTGGAGCCAGCAGCCAGGGTCAGCAGGCCGCACTTCCCACCAGGCTGCGCACTTACCTTTAGGAAAGTGTAGAACTTCTGCTCCTTCTCCCCATTCACGTCGCCTTTCTCAAAGAGTTGGAAATTAGGGACGAAGCCCCCACCAGGCCGGACGTACCTGTGAAAAATGAGGCAAATACAGATCAGAATGAGGGAAGGGACAAAGCCGGATGAAGTATGGGAAAGCCATGACGGTTGAAGATGCATAGGCAGAACACGAGTTTGGAGTCATCAGCTAGGTCCCTTCTCAGTACCCCCCACACCCTGTACCCCTCAGAACCACCCTCAATTCCTGCCATGCCCTGAATAGCCAGCCATCCTTTGCTCTCTTCCTGCCCCTCCCCCGACTAAACAGGGAGTGGCCCTGAGTGGCCTAGGGGCCCATCCAGAGCTCATGGCTTCCCAGGGTCACAGGGCGCACACTCACTTGAGGCTGGGTAGGATCTCTGAATTCTCTCCTGGCTCCTGTTTTCCGAATTGGTTGCAAGGGAAGCCCAGAATGACCAGACCAAATGGTGCAAGTTCTTCTTGTAGTGCATTCAGTTCTAAGCCAGAGAGCAGAGGTGGGACAGCCTGGTGAGGAAGCCGCCTCGTGGCCCCGCTGCCCCTGCCCACCCATTGGACAGCTGAAACCAGATGCCTGAGGAGAAAGGGACTTGCCCAGGATCACCCAGTGAATTTGAGGCAGTGCTGGGATTTAGGTCCTGCAGTGGGTGGATCAGAGATTTGGGAGAAGAGAGAAATAACCGGCTCATGCCTGTCAGCTACTCAGGAGGCTGAGATCCGAGGGTTTGCAGTTCAGAGTCAGCCCAGGCAGCAAAGTCCATGCGATTCTTATCTCCAATTAACTACCAAAAAGCTGGAAGTGGAGCTATGTATGGTTCAAGTAGTCAGCTTCGAAGAATGCTCAGGGACGGTGCCCAGGCCCTGAGTGCAAGTGCCAGGGCTGACACAGAAAAAAACAGTCTCTAGCCCACTGCACAGGGCCCAGTAACTGGGCCAGTTAGCCAAGGACAATAACTCTTCAGAACATTCAGAAGCAAGAGCCATCCATCCTTGGACAGAAGGCAGAGGCCTTCCTTGGGGATACTGGGGGAGGGGGGGGGGCGGGGCGGGGCTCACAACTCTTCTGGGAATTCAGGAACCAAAACAAGGTCTTGGCCAGCTCCTTGAGTTTCCTTAGCCTCTCCTGGCCTTATATGCAATGTCTAGCCTGTAGTCTAGCTTTTTCTAGCATCTAAACAAATATCTGGAGCAAAGCACTTAGTACCACTGAGCCTTGCACCCTGCTGTCTTCCCACGGGAATTCGCCTGTGAGGACCAGACAGACTCAGGACCAACCCTCACCCCACTCCCAATCCCTGCCAGCATTCTGTGGATCTTTTCCTGGGTGCCGTCAGAGGCCTTTGACCAGCCTATTCCCTGTGGCTCCTTCCTCTACCCCAGCAGGGTTGGGGGTGGGGGGGAGGGAGGAGATGATAAGGAAATCGTTTTTGTTTTTGTATTTGTCAGTCATGAGGCTTGAACTCTGGGCTTGGGCGCTATCCCTGTGCTCTTCAGCTCAAGGCGAGTGCTCTACAACTTGAGCCACAGCACCACTTCTGGTTTTCTAGGGGTTTATTGGAGATAAGAGTCTCAGGGACTTATGTGCCCGGGCTGGCTTTGAACTATGATCCTCAGATCTCAGCCTCCTGAGTAGCTAGGATTACAGGCGTGACCCACCAACAGCCGGCAATAAGGAGTCTTGAAGCATTTGACCCAGGTTGAATGGCAAGTTCTGTCCCTGCTAGCTTTGTGGCCCTGGTTAAATTTGTTGGTGTTTTGTTTTTCCCCTATTGAGCCTTGGTATCCTCATTTGTTGATTGAGCAGAAGGGCTGGCTGAGCAACATTTCCTTTAAAGCTTATTGTAAAGTGTACTATGTGGCCTGCCCTCCATCCCCCTTTCTCTGTCCCCATGTACTCTGGGGCCCCTGTGGCCAGCTCTCCAGACTGGGCCAAAGTAGATGAGACTGGGGGAAGATGAACCTCTGAGCCAAACTCCCATCCCTTTGCGTTTAAGGTAGCTGAAGTGCTCAGGGATCAGAAGCATCTAGAATCTTCTAGAATGTATTCAAAAGCAATCAGACATCAGGCTTACCTGATGGACTTCAGAAACATGGGGAATATAGTAGAGTTTGGGGATATGGGTTTGGAACCCCTTAGCCACCACCACCTCCTTTTTTCCTGACCCAGAAGCTCCTGTGATTGAAGTGTGCCTGAGTGGCGAAATCAGAGGAGGATGGGCTCTTACCAATGTATTGGTCTGTCAAACCTCAGTAGCTGGCTACATTGACAAAGAGGACGTATTTGCCAGCGTACTGCTTAAAGGGGATGTACTCCTCTCCATCAATGGTGAGGGCCCCGTACTCGTAGATGGTGCCGCTCACGCCGTCATGGCAGTCAGTCTGAGAGAGAAAAACCAGAAACAGAGCAGTTAGGCTGGAAGGATGCTGGCTGGGATAGTTGTTCAGTTGTCCACCTTCGAGTGAACGGGAGATTCCCCAGAGAGAGTGGCTGGCCCAGGTCCACACTGGAAATAGAACTGGTCATGGAATATTTGATAATGATTGGTGTGTGTGTGTGTGTGTGTGTGTGTGTGTGTGTGTGTGTGTGTGTGTGACAGAGACAGACAGTTCTGAGATTTGAATGTCAGGGTGCTGTCCTGAAGCTTTTTGGAGGTTTTTACCAGTCCTGGGGCTTGAACTCAGGTCCTGGGCACTGTCCCTGAGCTTCTTTCACTCAAGGCTAGTACTCTACCACTTGAGCCATAGTGCCACATATGGCTTTTTCTGTTTATGTGGTACTGAGGAGTCAGGCTAGACAAGCACTCTACTATTAAGCCACATTCCCAGCCCCTCCCTAAGCTTTTGCGCTCAAGGCTAATGCTCTACCACTTGAGCCATAGCTCCATTTCCAGCTTTTTGGTGGTTCATTGGAGATCATAGGAGTCTCATGGATTTTCCTTCCTGGGCAGGAAGGAAACTTAGCTGCTGCTTTCTTTGTTTTTCCAAGTCCTGGGACTTGAACTGGGCCTAGG